AGGTGGTCGGGAACAATTGCAGTCAGCACTCCCTGGAGCATCTCGTGGTCAGCACGTCATGGAATGCATTTTTCTCGGAGCTATAGCTGGAATTTTCCAGGGCAAAGTCCGTGCATAGGACGAGTCATAGGGGAGTTGAGGGTCTTTGAGGGTCCTTGCCTCTAACACGAAAGAGCAATGAGGCAAGAGAAAGAAAGAAAAGACACTCCATTGAAAAGGAAGACGTAAATTTACCAGTGTGCAGATGACATGATTCCATATGTACAAAACACTTAAGATTCCACAAAAGAACTCTAAGAACTAAAGGAAATTTAGCAAAGTATCAGGTATGTGGAACCTCAGAGGACCCCAAATAAACAAAACAATCTTGAAATGGAACAAATGTGGAGGTCCTTACACTTCTTATTTTCAAAACTCTACAAGCTCCAGTAATTCAAACAGGGTGGCCCTGGCATGGACACACTTACAGAGCAATGGAGTAGAACACTGAGCCCAGTAATAGCCATCATGGATGGCTAAATGCTTTCTGACAAGTGTGTCAGGACCATCTAGTGGGGACAAGACAGTCTCTTCACCAAATAGTGCTGGGACAAGTGAATGTCCACATGCAAGAGAATGAAGTTGGACACTGACATAACACCATACACAAAGATTAACTCATGATGAATTGAACCATCTAAATGTTAAGAATTAGAAGTATAAAACTCCTAGAAGAAAATATAGGAGGAAAGCTCAGACAATGGATTTGGCATTGATTTTTTGGATATAACCCTAAAAGCACAGGCTACAAATGAAAGTAGGTAAATTAGACTACATCAAATTTGAAAAGCCATGTGTATCAAAGGACACGACATGCAGAGCCAAAGGCAACCTATGGAATGAGAGAAAAATACCTGCAAATCATACACCTGATAGGGGATACACATCTAAAATATGTAAGGAACTCATACATGTTGATAACAATAAAACATACAACCGAATTAAATAATAGGTAAAGGACTTGAATAGATTTCTCCAAAGATGATATGCAAATGGCCACATACTCATTAAAAGTTGCCCAGCATTTCTAGTCATCAGAGTAATGCAAATAAAAATCACAATGAAAAAACACTTTCCACTCTGTAGGATGGCTATTATCCAAAAAACAACAGAAAACAGTAAGCGTTGGTGGCCAGGTGTGGTGGCTGATGCCTGTAATTCTAGCACTCTGGGAGGCTGAGGCAGGAAGATCTGTCAAGGTGAGGAGTTTGAGACCAGCTGGATCAAGAATGAGACCCTGTCTCTACTGAAAATAGAGAAAACACATCCAGCAATTAGAAATAGAAACAAACAAACAAAAAATAGCCGGGCATGGTGGTGAGTGTGTATAGTCCTGTCCCAGCCCGCGGGACCTTCTGTTACTCGCGGGGGTCGAGGGGGACCATGCCTGAAAGAGATGGGCGAGAGAAAGGAACGAGACCAAGCAAATGGTTGTCAAGGTCTACTTTACTTGGATTTTTAGTAGGTTTTATATACAGAAACAAGGAAGTAGAAACAGAAAAATAGAGTGGGGGGATGATGAGGCTTGGGTGTGGGCTAATCAGCCCCAATCAGCATCCCAATGGCACCGGAAGCTGTTTGTGAAGGATCACTCAACCCCAACCTGGCAGGGGGTCGGGAACAATTGTAGGTAGCATGCCCTGGAGCAAGCACGTCATGGAATGCATTCTTCTCAGAACTATAGCTGGGGGGCTGGGTGCTATTTTCATCTTAGGCTATTTTCCGGGCGAGGCCCTTGCATAGGACAAGTCTTTGGGGTGTGGAGGGTCTTAGTCTCCAACATAGTCCCAGTTGCTCAGGAGGTTGAGGTAGCAGGAGGATCACTTGAGCCTAGGAGTTTGACGTTGCTGTGAGCTAGGCTAACACCAGGGCACGCTAGCCTGGGCAACAGAGTAAAGCCTCTGTCTCAAAACAAAACAAACAATAAGTGTTAGTAGAGATGTGCAGAAATTCAAACTCTTGCACACTGGTGAAGGGAATGTAAAATGATGTCACTGAAATTGAAAAAAATTATGCTTGTTTCTCAGAAAATTAAACAGAAGTAGTATGTAATCCAGCAACCTCACCTCTCAGTATATACTGGAATGCACAGTCTCAAAGACATATTTGTCCTCTCACGTTCCTAGCCGTGTTCTTCACAATAGCTGAAAGGTGGAAGAACACCCAAGTGTTCACCAGTGATGAATGGAAAAACAAAAGATGTTCAATACATACAGTGGACTGTTATTCAGACTTACAAAGGAAAGAGATTCTGATGCATGATTTGTGAATGAGCCTGGGGACATTGTGCTGAGTGAATTTGCCAGTCACTAAAGGTAAATACCGTCTAATTCCACCTATATGAGATACCCAGAGTAGTCAAATTCATGGAGACGGGAAGTAGAAGAGTGGGTGCCAGGGGACATGGAAATTAGGGAGTTATTGTTTCTTGGGTACAGAGTTGTAGGTTATGAGATGAGTTGTGTGGATACACGCTGGTGATGCTCTCACAACAATGTGTGTGTGCTTCACGCCACTGAACCCTACATTTAAAAGTGCAAAGCTAGTGTTGGGCCGTAGAAATGTACAGCCCGTTTGGGAGAGAGACGACTGCCCAAAAAGACTCAGAGTCCAGAGGCTTGATGCAAGAGAGCAAGAGGATTTATTTCCAGCGCAGCGCAGGGGCTAGCAGCATCACCGAGATGGGGAAGCTGCCGCGCCGAGGCTCTCAAGCTTAGGGTTTTTATGGGCCAAAACCACACGCAGGTGGTCAGGGAGTTTAGGGTGGGGAAATTCCAGCGACCCTATCTTGTACAACCAGTTGCACAACTATCGGCACTTACGGGAAGAATTAACAAAAGAACAAAGAAAAAGGAGAGGGTAGGGTCCTAATTACCGGGGTCCTAATTACCTAAGAGCAAGCGTGGTTACAGAAGCGAAAAGCTGGTTAGGCTAGTTTGGGGCCTTACACTAGGAGGTTTTCTTGCTATGTGTATTTTATGAGAATCAAAATAAATAAGGTTTTAAAGATTTAATTAAAATATTGATGGAAAATAAAGGCAGGGATGTAGGGCAGCTGTTAGTAGCAGTTTCAATTGATGGAAAGATGTTTGGCAGTAATCATGCGCACCTGATGGCTTAGGAATCTCACTGTTGGGGATACACCAAAAAGAAATTCCCAAGTGTGTCCCCAAAAAGAAAGGTGCACAGATGTTCTTAGCAGCCCCAAACTGGAAGAAGCCAAAATGTGCACAGTTGCATGGGTAAATCTATTTCTCTGTATTCACACAACGGCATAATGTATAGAAATTTGGGTAAAGGATGCACAATGTGCAACAAATGGGGAATCTCAAGAAAAAGACTGAGTGGAGGAAGCCAGGTCCAGAAGAGTTTATCCTCAGTGATTTCCTTTATGGAAACTGAAGCATCAAGCAAAATTGAGCAGTGGGGGTAGAAGTCAGGGTAGTGGTTTCCTTGGGTCAGAGGCTAGACATCAGATGGGGCTCCAGGAGATTTTGGGATGCCGAAGATCTGTTTCTTGATCTGGGTACAGGACACAGGGTATGTTCAATATGTGGAAAAAATATTGTCAATTTTATATCTGTGTGAATTATACTGAAATTAAAAATGTTAAATTTAAAAACATCAGATTGCATATCAAGCCAGGGTGAAAAGGGACCCCTCAGCCTGTCATGCCTTCCATCCACAGCAAAAGCAAGTTCATAGTGACCATGTGGCCCTCTTTGTGTGGAGAGGCTGCCACCGGGGTCTGAGCAGTGCAGCATCCTCAGGGTGACAGCCAGGGCCCAGGGCTCCACCATGCTCCTGGTGAACTACAAACAGGGCCACTTCCACCAGCATCACCATCGCTGCTAACCTGCCCCTCAAGGTGAGCCAGGAGTCCTCCCCTTCACCACCCACCCTGCCCAATCCTTCCCTGATGGGAATTACTCACTTGCTCTGTGTGAAATCTGTGACAAATCTATGCGAAAACCCAATTGTTCACAATAGCTTTTGGTATAGCTCTGTGTCCCTGTGATTTTCTGGCTGAAAGCAGGAATTGATGTAGAAGGAGCAGAGCCTCCCCGACGGGGGACAGTGGTTGCTGACATCCATGTGATCACGCGAGACAGAGCTTGGCAGGCTTGGCAGGGTGCTCACCTGCCCGACTCTCCTGACGAAGGCAGGGCTGTGGGCCCCAAAGGCTTTGCAGTGTTTCCAACAGGGGTCAGAACACAGGGGTGCTTCTGGTCCACTCCAGAGTTGCCCTTCAGGGTCCCTACAGATCCCCAGCATTGGGACAATGGCCTTTGATATATTAGATTCTGGGGGCCTTCTGGGACCTGGGTCCAGGGTGGATTCTGCCATTTGCCTGATGTCTGTAAATCCCTCTTCCCACCTGAGGAGGGAGGTAGTCTTGGCACGCGCATGCGGAACACATGACTGACACGGAAAATGTCCGGCACTGGTACGCAGCAGCTTGCCGCCTCCCCGTGGGTCCGTATCTCTGAAGGCCTGCGCTGTGTGTGGCCAGCTGGAGGACATGCTGCTGGAGCTGGGCCCAGGGCCCCGAGGCGGAGCCGCCTGGAGCCCCTGGTGCTGGAATGCCCCCAGGCTCTTGTGCCGCCTGCTTCCAGAAGCATTGCTTGCGTGATCCTGATTGGGTAATTTTTGAATCCCACTGTTGTTGGTTGGATGTTAAAACTTGTTGCTGATTGGATGTTAAAGCTTGCTGTTGACTGATGTTAAAGCTTGTAGTTGATTGGACGCTTTTTGAGTCCTACCAAGGGTATAAAAGCAGAAGGAGAACAAGAAAGGAGGGCAGAAGATCAGAAGACGGGAAGAGAGCTGTAACACTTGCTGTACTGAGCCTGCTGGGGGACTCTTCATGCGTTGCTCAGTTCTTTCCCTGGTCAAGAGCTGTAACACTGGCTGTACAATTGCCATAACATGACCTCAGCCTCCACACTGGCCTCCCCAGGCTGAGTCCAGCTCTCACGCGCAGCAGCTCTGTACTCTGCTCATTAATTTCTCTGGCCTTACGTTCCTGCCTGTGAATTAGGGCTAGACAACACCTACTCCATAGTGTGGTGCTGAGGATGAGCTGAGCTAATAAATGGAATGGGCTCAGAATGCAGCCTGGGAGAGAATAAGCGCTCAGCAAGGCAAGTAAAACGTGGATAAAAACAACTGGGCCTTTTTCTGAGGGTGGTTGTGAAGGTTTCACACAAGGGATCCACACAGTGGGCTGGTGAATGCACTTGTTACTATGTTTCAACCCACCTCGTCCACAGGAGTCCCAGACAAGGTTAGTTGGTGGGGAGTTATTGCTCCTGGAGGAGCCCTCATCTTCCCAGCCTGCCCTGGGAGGCCAAGCAGCCCTTTCATTTCCCTGCCACCCAGGGTCAACCTCGAAGATGTGCTGGTCCTCATGGTTTGTAATTTTTTTTGTTTGTTTTTCTTTTTGTCCCTCTCTCCCACGAGAAACACACTCAGTGACCGTAGGATCTTCCATCTCTGCCCCTCTAGCCCTGGGCATAGTGCCTGATACAGAGGAGACACAGTGTGGTTTTTTTTTGGATTCAATGAGTGAGGAAATGTTTCCAGGGTCATCCAGCCAGGGCTCAAACCAAGGCCTCCTGATCTCCAGGACAAACACAGCAACCCTTGCAGGTGTCTGCCTTGTCCTTCCTGTTCCAGTCATCCAGTTACGTGGCACCTATCTATGAACACCTTCCTGTGCCAGTGTCTGTTCTAGGCCTGACATGCAGCAGAGCAGAAACCACAGAGAAACTTTTGTCCCCATGACCTGACATTCAAGCAGAGGTGGGGGGCAGAGAGGAAAAAAGAGAGAGAGGGAGAGAGCAAAATAGAGAGAGGGTCCATAAACCATGTAAATAAGTAATGTATTTTGTCTGTGCTGGCCATGGATGAAGTAAAGTTTGAAGGGGTGATGGGGGCGGCAGTTTGAAATGAGGAGGTTAAATCCCCTCCCTGAGCAGAGCGCTGGAGCAGGTGTGAGTGTTCTGAGAGCAAAGTGAGGTGACATAAATCTCCCTGCCATACCCTCCAAGAGATGAAGTATTTTACCAGGAGCCTGGCAGCTGGGCTGGAGCAGCAGAGGCCAGTGTTTGAGCTCACTGTCAAGAGCTGGAATGTAAAGGTGAAGAAAGGGCAGATATGTCCCTTAGCAGGGTGGCTTCCTGATTGGAAAAATGGTACAGAAAGATGAGTGTGGGTCTCTTATCTTTCAGTTTTTTTCTACCCTGATAGCAGTTAAGATCAAGGTAATTCACAGGGAACAAGACCCGAAATGATAGGGGCTTAAGTGACAGAGAAGTTTGTCACACATGAGGTTTCATACAGGGGTGGTCTGGCTGCTCTATATTCATAAGGGATCCAGGCTTTTGTCTGCCCACTTCATCATCCTATTATGTGGCTTGCATCCTCTAGGTTGTCCCACAGTCCAAAATGGTTGCTGCAGCTCTAACTGTCACAGCTGCATTCCAAACAACCTGGAGAAGAATGCACTGGGCTCTCAGCTGACCTAATTTCCTTTATTAGCCTGACCAGAAGTTTAGAAAAACAATTTCTACCTACGTTTCTTTGATCAGAAGGTTGTCCATCAGCCTCTCCTGGCTGCAAGAGAAGCTGAGAAATATTTTCTCTGTGCAGTTTACCATCCTATAAAAAACAGGGTTTCTTTGACTAGGAAACAGGGGACTGTGAGAACTTGGAGGGCAGCTAATAGTCATTGCTGCAATGTGTATTTGCTAGTCCATACGTCAGTTCCCTCTGCAGACAGTCATGGACACTGTTGGTGGCAGGACCAGGCTGGGGAGACAGGATCTAGGCAAAAGTCCCACCCTCTGTCCTGGGAGGCTGCCAGCCTGTGGGGAAGGCAGGCTCTCAGACAGCTGCAGTGAGCACGGTAGAGGTAATGAGTCCCAAGGGGGACAGATCGAGGATGATTAAATAGTAGCAGGGCAAATCCCAGGTCCTCAGTGGAATTTTGAGTGCTTTGGTGATCTGTCCCCCTACTGATTTGTCACCTGCCCCATCCAAGCCTTCGTACTACACACACTGAATCATCAAGTTTGCCACAGACGCCATCACACCTCTGTGCCTTTGCACTTCAGGTTTCCTCTCTGGGAAGCCCCTATGCCAGCTACCTGGCCAAGCTCCACTGGGTTCACAGCAATGGAGCAGACACAGATGTCCACACTGTGAAGACCTTGTTGCCCAGCTGGAGAGATGAGACAGGGACCTAACTAGCTACAGTACAGCTACCTGTCCATAGGCACAAAGGAGGGACATACACATTGTTGCCCACGCCCACCTGCTGCTCAGGGATCACAGGCAGCTTCCGCAGGAGGAGGGTCTGGTGGGGTCCTTGGTCTGGGTGTGACCACAGGAAATGGCCAGGAGGCATTCTGGGGAGGAGAAAGCCAGAATGACTGGGGCACCTAGGGCAGAGGTGGCAATGTGGCTCGGGACTAAGAATTTGACCAGCCCCTTTGTTGCCAGGATAACCCTCTACAGGTGCATTTTGCTCTGGGTTTGCAAACTTAACCATCCCCCACATCCGCTCTGAGGACTGGACACTGATGATGAAACCTTCTCTCTTCTGAGTGTTTCAGACCTGGGCTGGCTGCACCAGTTGCCACCTCACATGTCTCTCATTAGTCCAACCTGAGGTTCATGGACCGTAAAAGGTCATAATCAGCTTTCTTAATTTATTGGATGATTTAGCTTCTGGAGAACTACTGCATGCAAAGTCCCTGCAGAAAATCCTCTTCTGGGGCAATTTAGGGATAGGACTTAGAGGGTAATCACCTGAGCAGGCTCCAAGGATTGATGTCTGAAGGGACCATGTGGAATGTTGGATTCACCAAACCTGTCTGTTGGAGGTGTCAAACCTCCAGCCCGACTGCAAAGTTTCCTCTCAGATCCTCAGGTATTCCCAAGGACACCCAAATAGAGATGCTTTCACTCATTCATCAATAGTAACTATATAGTCTGCAAATACAGTGTGGACCAAGCAGGTTCTTAGATGGTGACCCATCCCCTCCAGAACCTGCTCAGCCCTCCTGATGCCCTGGGAGTTGGCTCTGTCAGTCGGTCACTGGCTGTGTGTCCTCAGGTCAGTCCCCTCACCTCTGTGCCTCCTTCCCCTCATCTGCAAAATGGTGGCAGCAGTAGATCCAACAGTGCCTGGTACAGAGTATTTTCTCAATAAACATGAGTTGTCACTAGTCCTCCCTCCTTCCACCTAGGCAAAGATCTAAGCAGTTACTGAATCTTCCCAGATCTTTCCTGGTGGGACTTAAAATATACTCACATATAAACCTGCTGCTTATAATAGTAATGCAGGTTTACCATGCAAAGCTTGAAGAGACACAGTAATGAGAATGAATCCTTACCAAGTGCTGTCTACATATATCCATTCTCATAACAATCCTAGCAGTGAGGCACAGTTGCTATTCCCACTTTAGAGATGTGGCAGCCAAGGCACAGAGAGCTTCAGTCATTTGTCTAAGGGAACACAACTGCTGGACAGTAGAGTTGGGACTTGCACCAGATGGTCTGGTTTCAGAGTCCATGTCCTTCACCACTGTGTCACCTGCTTCCCAGGAGAGACAAAGGAACACCCCCAGTAGTCTCCGTCACACAATTGCTGCTCACATTTCACTTCTTAGTCATCGTTTTCCTGTTGTGTGCATACACACACAATATGTCTCTGTGTGGCTGAGCAACACAGTACCCCAACCTCACTACCTAGACAGACACCACTTTGGGTTTTTTACTGGTCCTGCAGGTGGGCAGGGAGTCCCCACACTCCTGGGGTTCAGCACTTGGTTCCCTTCCCATTTGTGGTTACGATCCACAGAGCTCCTACAGAGGTCTGTGTGGCTTCTTTTTGGGGGACACACTTGGTCATTTCTGGTCATTTCTAGGGTGTGGCCCTAGGAGTGGGACTGCTAGTCCACAGGGCCTGAACAAATTCAGCTCCAGTCGTTATCGCCAAGTCTTT